AGGTCGACCCCCGGCACTACGCCATACGAGCTCGTACGCAAGTCCAAGCCGGACTTGTCGCGAGCCCATGAGTTCGGGGCGAAAGTCTTCGTCCATGTGCTGGATGCTGGGAAGTTGGAGCCGAAGGCAGAGGAGGCAATCTTTGTGGGGGTAGACGCTGAAAGCAAGGGTTATAGAGTGTACTGGCCGGGGAAACACCGTGTATCGGTGGAGAGGAACCTCACCTTTGCACCGGCAGAGATCCTGGTGGATGCACTGGACGAGGGGGAGCCTACTGCTGTTAACGAACATAACAGCGGCAACGGTAATAATAACTCACCTCATAGCGTCCAGCCCATCACCACTACCACGCAACAGCAACCTCAACCATCTACCGCCCAGCAACCTCAACCATCTACTCCTCAGCAACCTCAACCATCTACCGAGCAGCAACCTCAACCATCTACTCCTCCAAGGACGACGAGGGCCAGACCTCCTCCGGGCTACTATGCTAGCCTGAACGAAGGCAGCAATGCAGCGGCCATAGCGATGGAGAACCTGTTGGAAGCGTCAGAGGTAGATTTATTGGATGAAGAAACTCACCTTCACCTTGCCTTGGCAGTCGCCCAACCAGAGCCCACCTTGCAACAGGCGTTAAACGGACCAGATGGAGTAGAGTGGCAGGAAGCTGTTGATTACGAGATAAGTCAGCTTGAGAAGTTGGGGACGTGGGAAGTAGTAGACTTACCTCGCGGCGCTAACCTCATCCCCTGCCATTTCGTGTTGGCCACGAAACGTGGACCCGACGGTGAAAAACTCAAACTGCGGGCACGACTCGTTGCCAACGGCCAGAAGCAGCAGTTCGGTGTCGACTACTTCGACACGTTCGCGCCCACAGCCAACATGAGCACCATACGCACTGTATTGACGATGGCGGCTCAGAACGACTGGGAAATCCACCAAGTCGACATAAAAAGTGCGTACCTCTATGCGAGTATCCAGGAGGAGATTTACATGCGCGCGCCACCCGGCTACCTCACGGAGAGTCAGCGAGGAAAAGTGTTGCGGCTGCGAAGGAGCTTACCTGGTTTGAAGCAGGCCGGTTTTGAGTGGGCTGAGGAGTTAGCAGGAGTTTTTGCGAAGATAGGTTTCGCCCGGTCCAAGGTGGACCAGGCAGTCTACTACAGACGCGCACCGGACGAGCACGTCGTCATCACCGTCTCAGTGGACGACATGGCCGTTACTGCCAACTGGGCCTCCCACATCACCTGCTTCAAGTCCCAGCTCCGTAAATTCTTCGAAATCACAGACCTGGGCGAGCTAAACTGGCTGTTAGGGCTAAAGGTAACGCGAGACCGTGGCGCACGTACCTTGACACTCTCCCAGAAAGCCTATGTGGACACGATCGTCGAGCGCTTCTACATGGGAGACGCTAAGAGTGCACAGACGCCGATGGAACCTACACTCACCTTGTCCGTTGACCAGGGACCTGCCACGGTGCAGGAGATCCAGGCCATGCGCGATGTACCGTATCAGCGAGCCATTGGCTCGCTGATGTATGCAGCCACTAGCACCAGGCCGGACATAGCATTCCCTGTCGCGACATTGTCGCAATTCATGCGCAATCCTGGTAGGCCTCACTGGGAGGCCACCAAGAGGGCACTACGCTACCTTAAGGGCACGGGAGACTTCGAGCTAACGCTCGGTTCGACGGACGGAGGTCTTGAAGCCTTCGTGGATGCGGACTGGGCATCACAACCCCACCGGCACTCTATGTCCGGGTACGTAGTCCTTTTGAACGGAGGTCCCGTTGCATGGAGTGCCCGGAAGCAACCACTGATCGCGCTATCCACGGCAGAGGCTGAGTATATCGCCCTGACCAGTGTGATACGCGAATTACTTTACCTTAGGTTGCTCCTCAGGGAGCTATACGACCCCGTCCCCAATCCTATCCCCGTGTTCTGCGACAACCAGGCTGCCATCGCATTAGCGTCCAACGGCAAGTTCCAATCACGCACCAAACACATAGACCTTCGATACCATTTCGTCCGCTCCCACATCAAGAACGGCACATTCAAGATATTCTACTGCCCCTCCGAGGACAACATCGCCGATGCCTTTACAAAGGCCCTGCCGAGACCGCGACTCCAGAAGTTGCGAACGATGATGAGCGTGGCTTGCGCTCGAGGGGGAGTGTTGGAGTACGAGACCGAGAGATCCGAGGCCAGGGGGAGATCCGAGTCGAGAGAGTCCGAAGGATCCGAGTGATAAGGGGAGAATGGTTCGAGCGCGCGCCAAAACGGACGAAGACGAGCGACGTATGACGTCGGCTCGCGTCCTAGTTTATTTTCAGTCTCTCATTCATATGTTCCAGTACCTGACCAACTTACTATAAGATTACCAGCAGTACCGCAGGTGCATCTCAGTTTTCGTTCGAGACAACTGAGATGTACGTGCCAACAAGTCCCTAGAGTTTACAACGCGTCTAATGTTAGTTATAGCTTGTCTTTGTCGTTCTAGGTAGACGCACCGTTATAGGAGTTTTCGTTCGAGACAACTGAGATCTTGTCTTTGTCGTTCTAGACTCCTCGTGACCCTCTTGCTCGTCATAAACGCCTTTAAAATATACATAAAAACTGAAGGCCTTCGGCGTGAGGGCTCGGAATTTGACCTTCACACCCGTTGAAAGCAAGTCACGACTGTCGGAAAATGTGATGGTGTTGTTGCATAGTCATATTGAATGTATATACGCGTAACGTAGTATGTCTGGACGAATACCCAACAGATGTACATGACTAGACTGGTGACTAGTTCTCACTATGCGGCCCGCTTGCCTCGTGGCAAGGACTTGTCACGAGTCTAGTACATGACATAACTTAGAGAGTGAATCTCACCCCATAGCTATTTGCTCGACGGTGTCGCGTACGTAGATGTAAAGTGACCGTGATGATTAAGGAGTGTAAATGACTACGAAATGAGTCGAGTCGTCTGTATGTATGTCAACATACGTGCAAGACGAAAAAAAATAGTGCCAGGACTTGTGAAAAGTCGACGAAGATAAGAGGGAATTTTGGGAAGGTCAGTGGGTGCAGAAAAAGGAGGCCACGAGAGAAGATCGAAATTGGGGTAATAGTGGCCACGAAGCGGTGTCTGTGAACGAATGACAAATGAAGCAAATAAAGCAAAGCCTCGGAAAGTAAATAGATAGATCCCATTCGTCTCTTGCGAACGAAGCAAGACTTAAAGTCATAAGCTGTACGTCGATCTATCAGCCTGACGAACGAGCGAAAATGAAGGCGAGCGTACATCACTGATCGTTTTCGAAACAGTACAGGCGCCGATATCTGTGACACATGCTTCATGCAATGGTACAATAGAAGCTAGTGTTGCTGGTTTCGTAGGCGTGTTCAAATTCCAAAGGGACTGATTCAGCGGGATGGGAGGTGAGAGATTCAGGAAAGGATAAGGACTCGAGAACGTCGAATGAGTCTGTCACCGGGTTTGACGGCAGACCCGACGGCGGAATTGTTTGTGAGCGCATAAATGGGTGGCGCGAGAAGGCTTGCAAGGCCAACGTCAATATTAATGTCGGTGAGGTGGCGCTGAGTGGCGCGACAAAGGTTACTAGCCTGGGTGCTAGGCGCAAGTTATTACAAAGGGCAGAAAATTGGCAGTCATGGTGACCAAGCTTTGTCTTCCTTTATACCATGTTGGGGAACAATGATATTTACTCTGCAATTGTGGAGTAGAAGATGTCGCGGAGTAACAAACAATGAGCGTACTGTGGTCACTTGTGGTCAGCTCAGCGGCTGGGTTAGAAAATTACCATATTCGGTCATCAATTTGCGATCATTCAAGTTGAACTCTTGCTTGTCCGCCCTTTAATATGATGAGCTCATAGACGTTCTTAGTGTCTCCTTTGGTGGGATATTGTCATCACGCTTTTTACTCACACGAGTTTCGCCAGTTGCGTTCCTCGCAATTATGTCGCTGCTGCTGCTCCCTCGAGCTGCTGTGGCATTGACGAACCCAAAATATCGCAACTCTCCTTGTCATGGCCTTACTTTTTTAAAGTTGTCCTGAATGTTGTGCACGATATCGAAGTTACTGTGTTTGGCTAACAATGTGAACATTGCCATCTTGGTGTGGTGCAATATCAGTGAGTTCAATCTCGAAGTGCCCTTGTGGCTGATGACCTTCGAATCAGCAGCGCCATCGCAGGGTCTGCATTGGCGCTCACTCAAGTGTATCAGTCCAATTTGATAGATTACTACGCAGCACGACTAACGCAACCGCCAGCTCTTCGAACTATCAATACACCTTGGAGTCTTGGACTATGGTTTTCATCGGACTTTGTATGAGCAGTACTATGAAACGTACTAATGCTATGCCTGCTACATTTTCCATTGCCCCTTCGCGATCCTCTGGACTATCGGTACGGTCCTATATGTTCACATTGGTGCTACATCGTCCCTCATGGGCACCCCTCAACGTTCAACCTTGTGGTTCTCTTACAAATTTTCTGGATTTCTATTCCGTATTCATCATTAACATTTTCCTTGAAAGGAATGGTAGGTGTCGCCCATGAGCGACAATATATAAATGGGATTGCACGCAAGCGGACGGACCACACTGCTTCCATTAGATACAATCGATTTCAAGGCGCTTAGTGAGGGAGGAGCAATCTCAACATATTCATGTCCGGAGAGTTGTGGAGTAATGTGTTATGCAAAAGTGCTATCCTATGCTAAGTACCTGCGTTTGCTGCACCACCGCCCAAGCAGCACACAATCGGATCAAATGATAAGTGGGTCTCCTCCAGAGACTGTGTCATCAGGTTTACCGGCGGACCTGATGGTGAAATTGTTTGTGAATTATGGTGATCCTTCTTCCGGAAAGACTCAGGGTTTGCAATCATAAATTGACCGCGGTAGAGTTGCAAATTGTGCCACGCCGGGTGTAGTGTATTCATTTTCGGACTCAAGAATGAGAATTACCATATTCGGTCATCCACATTGTGTCTCGATCCACATTGAACTCCTTTGCCATTGTTCAATAGTGATATAGTGGAATCAGATTACACATTATGATCCACATTTCAAGGCCTCATAAACGTCTTGGTGTCTCGTTTGATGAGACATTGTTATCGTACCTTTCACTCTCATCATGCACCCGGAGTTTCCACCAGTCGCGTTCCTCGCAGCTCTATCACTTCTCCTCACTCTGCCATGGCATTGGCGAGCCCAAAATGTCGCAACTCTCTCTATCATTGCCTGGCTTTTCATTCTCAATGTCGTGTATGGTGTCGATGCCATGATCTGGGCTAACAATGTAAACATCGTCATCCCAGTGTGGTGTGACATTAGTACGTTCAATCCTGATGGTGAATTCCCTTGCTAACCCCCTTCGAGCCAGTAAAATCATTATTGGATCTACATTTGCCCTCCCATCCGCCTGCCTGTGCATCTGCATCCATCTAGAGCATGTCGCGTCGGTACATCGGGCCAAAAGTCCGTTGAGCGACAAACGTGTCCGCCAGCTTTTCGAACTATTCATGTGTTTTGGACTGCCAATGTGTTTCATGGGACTTCGTATGAGCAGTTTTTTTAGACGTTGTGCCATGCTAACCATTTTGCTAGATTATATTGTGCAAGGTCATCGATTCGATATTATCGAGGAGTACGGTTGTCGTCCAACAACATACGTCTCAATCCCTGCCATCTTTCTCATATGGGTGCCTCCACTTCTGTTATCCACGATTGCTCTTGGTTTTGCATGTGAGTTTTTTTTCCTTGTTGATTTTTCTTCACTAACTTATTTCAGGTGCTTCTTTCGTCCATTTCATGCGACGTCGGTTTACATTCGCACATCACCTTGATACGTCTCGGAATGGCTTGACAACTTCTCGCTACCTCCGTTTAATGCTTATGGCAGTCGTAGAAATGATCTGGAACATCGCGGTCACGTCCTACACCCTCTGGTTCAGCACAGTGGACATGCGCCCGTGGACGAACTGGGATGATGTGCATTCGAACTTCTCACGCATCGACCTATATGCCACTGCCTTCACACCGCAGATCGTTCTCACTAACTTTTATATCATATGGTGGATTGTTCCCACCTCCACCTTCATTTTCGTGGCGTTCTTTGCTTTCGGCAAAGACGCTGTGAATGAATACACTGCATGCATAGTGTGGATCCGCCGAAAAGTCCTCAAGCAAAGGATCGAACAAACCACTCTAGGCTCTGTTTCACCCGCGAAGTATGTATCTGTTTTCAACATTGATTCCTTGTCTGATTATTGTCAGGTGTCCTCGTGCCGTTTTGCCATCACTACCGAGGATGCCCGCGTCTCGAACTAGGTTCGACGACAAGATCGACGACTATCACCCATTTCCCCATAACAAGCAAGCTTCTAAATTTCCCGCACCTGCCTCTTATGCACGAGCGTATGGATCTATGCAGGATTTCCGAACGCTTGACGCACCTCCAACTCACCCTGGTTTTTCTTATGTTCTTGATATCTCCCCGACTCGTCATCACTCTCCAGATGTTCACCAAATGGTGTAGCACTTCCGATCTAACCTCGTATATTGCGACTGCTGAGGCCAGCGCCTAGCCTCTTCGTTTGATACATGCTACGTTTCCTAATAGTTCATGTCATGGACATGATGTACACTCTTTACGCGTCTCACTTTCCACATTCATTCAATTATCCTGATCTGTAGTACACAATCATTTGCTTACTTTTCATGTCACAACAACACGCTCATTTGTACATCATTTCAATCATAGTTTGTTCGCATTCTGCGAGTGCTTGAAGCTTGAAGGATGGCATGTTCTCAGAAATTTCACGGCCACTCTCGTGCTTGCAGGGTCTGCTCTACAAGTAATTCAAGCGGCTGGTCTTCAGACTTTTATCGAGTTTCCAGAATACATTGGAACCATCTGCTACGTCACTCGCAAGCGAGTCTGCTCTCCTTTCTCGATGTGTCATCGTCTATCCAATCATGTCGGGGATACCCGGTACTAGCCCCAAGACTCTCGAGCCGCCGATCTGCTAAGTACTTTTTTATTAATATCGATTTTATTGTCCTTCGGGGTCGAAGACCCTATGTAGGACATCTATGAGCCCTGTTCGCGGGGGACTTACTCCCGCTTGATCTATCGTATGTTGCTAAGTACTTACTGACCAACACTTGCGCGAGGCTGGCAGCAGGCGACAACCGACTCATCCATATATCTTGCCCCCCGGACGGCTTATCTCTTCGATCACGATTAAGCTTCCACGCCCAACTGTAGTCACAAAGCCATGGACCACTATCCAGAGGTTAATTAAACGACCATTTCTTAACACAAGGACTTCATCATCCCGCTTGATCATGAATTAGAGATTGATCCTAGCGAGATTTCCCTCTCCGTCTGTCAAACCTTCTGCCCGGTTCCCTTCGTTCACTCCTCCGCTCGAAGAGAATGGGAGCTCAGAGAGGTCTCCAGTGTTGATCTCAGTGTAGCAAGGGGTGGTATGAATTTGGCCCACTTGCGCTTTCTTGCAGGATAAAATGTGATGGACGGTGACTCATTGCCAACGTTTTCCTGCCAAAAATGTATCACCTGTTGACTTGTGGGTGTATCATTTGAAAGTCTATGAATCCGGATAATGACAGGGGTGTATCTACTATCTCAAATCGCATGAGCTCCGATGCTCTCGATGCTCTCGATAAATCTTACGTTGAAGCTGAACGGCAGTTCGGCAATTTGCATTTACATCAAGTGACATAAATGCAAATTGAATGTCATTCTTGATTATATAATCCTATGGGCTCCCCCACCTCCCCGCTCACGCGACCGTACCACACTTTCTCTTGCACTCGGCAGCAGGCGACGAAAAACTCATCTGCATATCTCGCGGTTGGGACGGTTCATTCTTTCGGTGTGATCAAGCCTATCGCTCAACTTCAGTCACGAAACCATGGACCACTATCCGGAGGTCAAACGATCATTTCTTGACACAAGAGCTCTGTCTTCCCCGCTTGATCAGGAGTCAGAGAGTGAATCTAGTCATGTTTCCGGCTCCGACACGCCCTCCCCATCGGTTAGAACTTCTGCCCGATTCCCTTCGGCCACTCCTCCGCGTGAGGAGAATGGGAGCTCGGAAAGGTCCTCAGGTGTTGAACCCGAGAGTAGTAAGGGGTGGTATGAATTTGACCTTTCGGTCATACTTGCGCTAGTTTCGCCCATCGGAAATTGGTTGACAGGAGGAGATCACGTCAAGAATTTCCTTCTCATCCTTCTCTTGATATTCTATTTGCACCAAATTATCGAAGGTAAGTGCCTTGTTTTCATTCTGAAACAGAAAATATAAGTATACACAGTACCGTGGAGCCTCTATCATCTCTCGAGACCCAGACGTCGTTCCCCTGATTTCCCACCTCGTCAAACATCTGAGCAAGATCCATATCATGAAGTTGCTTCATCAGAGTTACGCAAGCTCGAGTTTTTCTACCTGTTCCTCACTGTATTATCGCCGTTACTCGGAGTCGCAATCCTTCGTATCGTCATCATATCTGTGGCCGGTCCGGAGACTATATCATGGTTCAGTACCTCCCTCTTCATTCTCGCCACCGGTATTCGACCTTGGAAACACGCGGTAGAACGTCTCCATCAACGCACACAAGATTTGCATACTGTCGTTCACTACCCTCCAGCCAGCTCACCAGACACGCACTCGCAGATTGAAGTTCTAATTGCGCGCGTCGCCGAATTAGAGACTCAGCTGAATAAATGTAACGACACCGTGAAAGTTCTTACCGAAGACGTTTTTGACCACGTGGAGGGAGCCGTCGAGGGGATAGAGAAATGCTTACGGAAACAGGAGAGGAAGAATGATGCTTTCTACTCGGCGCAGGAATCAAAACTCGCGACGTTGGATCAGAACATGCAAGCGTTACTGGAAAGGAAGGAGATTTCAGTGCACGGTTCGGCTTTATCTTATAATCTTGCTTCCGCATTCCACGCAACCTTGGTTGAACCACTTGGACTTGTCTTTCCTGAGTGGGCACGCAGCTCTCGCCGAGACAAACACCCACCATCTCCTCGTCCTTCCCCCAAAATCGGTCGTTCCCGTACTGGCACTAAGCTTGAGACGATACCAGAAGGCGCCACTTTCACACCCAAGAGAGCTCCATATCGCTTTCCCTACCTCCGTATTCCAGGTTTAAAATTCGCCCTGCGCATCGGCGATCTTGCAACCCTACCTGTCCGTCGGGTAGTGGCGTATCTTCTCATGGGACGCATATATGCGCCCAACGCGCCCAATTCCTCTCTTTAAACAGTGTTACCGCTCAAGGCCCATTTTTCACAACAATTGTTCTATTAGCATTGCATGGACTTGTTCCCACGTTTTCTCGCATTTTATCCCCGCATTGATATGCCGAGGGTGATCCATTTTGCCTCATAATTATTATGGTATCCAGGAATAACCGTACTGTACGCTCGTGCGTCGAATTTTGTATCAATATCCCGTTGTAAGCAGACTTTTGTCGTATCTCCCATGAAGTTTAGGCTGCTCTATAATTTACCACAGACGTCTGTACCAGGTGAGATTCATTTTCTTATTCTTCTATACCGTTACCTGTACAGCTTCCCTCGTACAAAAATCACACGGTCTTCTAAGCTTAAAGCTTTAGAACATGCCTTATCGGGGCATTTGCTTGATGTTTCTGATTGTAATTATCCCCTATCATATGGGTGTTCCTCGGTGAAGTATGCCATGGTATGTGTCCTTGTACTTTCTTCGGCCGAGAGCTTATCAGATCTAGAAAAGCCAAGTATACAGATTTTGTGGCATCGTGTCCTTGTACTTAATCCCATACTGCTGTCAAAGGCGCAGCTCGCTGATTAAAAGAAATGCAGCAGGCCATCACAGAGATCTGTATGCCCTTTTTGTCTCCCCAGATTTCTTTCATTATTGAAATGCAAACAGAGATACCAATACTTTCGTTCATTTCCGCGGCACTTGTTCTCTTTCCATTGCCTTGGTATTGTCGGGCTGGCAACATTGCTGCAATGTCTATTGGAATTTGGCTCTTTGTTGTAAACACGATCAATGCTATAGATGCCCTCCAGTGGACTGGCGCCTACCAAATCCCATTTTTATTCTGGTGTGACATTAGTGAGTGTTTTGATATCGATTCCATTCGAGAGCTCATAATTCCTGTAGCTTCAGCGCTGGTAACAGCTGTAAATGTAGCGATACCTGCGGCGTGCCTCTGCATTTGTATTCACCTGGAACGGATGGCGTCTTTCTGTCAGGCATCCGCCTCTGTAACAAAGCGACGCCGTATCTTACTTGAATGTTTAATGTGTTTCGGAGTTCCATTAGTATATGCAGCATTGCGTGCGTACCTGCCACGGGTTTCCCCACAATGTTTATTGACATCGTCGATAGATATAATTGTTCAACCTCGACGTTTTGATGTGTATGAAAATTTTGGATGTCGCTCGGCGATATATCCCACTGTGGTGGCTTTGTTCGTGGTCTGGATACCGCCGCTTGCACTTTCTTTTCTTACTATAATTTTTTGTGGCAAGTGACTTCACTACGGTTCGTATCCTTACGAAGCTGAGCCTCTGCAGGCATTACTTGGCGTCACTTTCTCCTTCATGGCGTCCAATTTTCGAGGACACGTCCATCTTCCTCGCTCACTTCTGGAGCCTACATTCGGCTCGTCAGTATGGCCGTTTCAGAAGTCATCTGCACTATTGCCGCGACTGTAGTAGCCATGTCGTTTAATCTAAGCTCAGGGCTGGCTCCGTGGGCGGACTTCACCCGAGATTTGACGGAGGTCTTGTCGTTCAGCTCCGCTGCGACACCTAAATCAATCACTGCGATGCTCATCACTGAATGGGCGATCATGGTCGCCCAATCGTTCTTCTTCATCGGATTGTTTGTGCTTGGAGGGGAGGGGCGCAGTCGATTGCGTGAGGCTGTACAGGTGATGCGCAAGGTTCTCAGCTTTTTTCAGAGACGATCTACCTGTATCGCTGAACTCAAAGGTACATCTATGGCAGAAGGGTACGTTCCTTTGTAACACTAGCAGGTTTTTCCTGAATGCGTCTCATCAGCGACTTGACACCGGTTCCGTCTCTGACCGTCCTCGAGTTCAAGAATACCACCTCTCAATCTATCACAGCATGCACTTATCATGGCTATCCATGTGATAAACCTCTTCCGCCTTCGCCTGCCCCCTTGCGGCCCCCATCACTCGACCTTACACATGCGAAACGATTGGAAGAAGATCCTGAATTCCTTGATCCCGCGCTCCTTCCTCTAGATTCACCTTCCATCTACTCTGTCATCTCGTCGTCACACAATTCTCTCCAATCAAATTTTGACCCGCAACAACTGTTTTTACCTTCGACGCAGTGGCCAGAACCCCCATCGACAGTCATTGTTCGACCACGCCCAGCAAGGCCCCACAGCATGAACTTTATCCACATAGAAGGTTCGCCGTTTTATGAGTCTGCAGTGCCGCACAATTACTCGAGGAATCCGAAGAATCGTAACGCTGTCTACATGACAGTGGTCAGGGAAGTCCAAGGAGCATATTGAGCTGTCAATTTTCTTTTCTCGTATATCCCTTCCGTTGTCCTTCGCGGTCATTGACCTTGTGTCGGACAGAATATGTCGTTGACTTTTTGCTTGCATGTTCCCGAGTCCTGAAGCATTTGTTGTTATTTTCTTCGCCTTCAAATATTTGTATGACTTTCTCTGTTGTGTTGGTGTGCTTTAGGTTCACTAATAGTCTGTATCAATAACAACGTGTATCGGAATGTTGACTGGCCGTTTTTTTTCTTACATATCTCATCTATTATCCCGGCGACCTCATTGCCCCTATGTCGGGTAGTATCAAACGCAATATGTTGCCGACTTTTTATGATGTATTTGTCGTTACTCTCCCTGCTTTCAATTGTATGGATTCTTTGTTGTGGTGTCACAGTAACTTGAGGGCCCGTTTCAATGTAACCAACGCTGTGCTTATGACAGTTTTGTCGTCGAGATATTAAAGATTTTGAATTCTCAATCTTGAAGTAACGCCGGGTAGTAAACTGTCTTCATTCGTCTACATAGCGACATGGACCAGGGGAAGCATGCTGATGGGAAACGCAGAAAACATACTGAAAAGGCAATTCTCCGAGTCGCTCGATTACGGCAACTACCGCTCTTATTGTCCGTCGCTTTTGGATTATCGCTATTGTTACAGACTCTCTTATAGCGTTCATGAGGGCCGTCGTTTAGGAATCCTTTTGCTTGCGAACCCACACCATCCGTGCTGCATAATTGCTGTCAATCCTTGAAGTTGCTGCGGCGGGCTTGATTGTCCGGCGGCGTTCAGCGCAACTCAACCCTACTCCTTGGTAACACTTTGTATTCTACATTTCAGATGTAGAATGGCAAAGTTCCCGCAAAGTTCAAGCCTCATGGTACTTACCACTTATTTTTGAATGAGAACAAGGATGTTAGTGAGTGCAGAATTCGCCAGTGGATCTGATTATCATTGACCAGTCCTATTTAATCGCACAATGCTAATGGACCACGATTACATGTGTATCAACTTCCATTCCGGGACGCTCTGACTATGTTATCAGTCGATTTTCTGATATCTAATGATCATGGGACGTCGGATCATGCCGTACTCTGTCATCGAAGCCCTTCGGTGCGCCATTTGAGCGCACTTCCCTCGCGCTTCCTCGCTTTACCTTTTCGGTAAACAAACATATGTTCATATATAGACATCAGTTTGTGGGTCAAAAAGGCAATGCCGATATTTGCAAAGTGTTCAAAGTTTGAACAAATTTTATTACACCCGGACACAAGGGGATGTCCAAATTAGACGACAAGGCGGATTGTGCTCTCGAAGGCTTTAATAGCTTGGCTTCCCAAGGCTATGAATACTAGCTTCACGTTCCCTCTGCTCAGCCCCATCACAGGATAGCTAGTGTCCTCCGAACAAGTCGCCCCTGTCTTCACGTCGCGCGTCAGCAACTGCGTTGTTAAGATGTTCAACTCACCGGACTGGGTGTTCTCTATGTTTGCTTTCCTCGGATTCTTGTGTTGCATTATTCCGCTTCCCTGGCATTTGGAAGGTCAGTCATTATATATTATCTTTGAGGCGTTCAAGACCTGACCAATGCTTTAGCATGGAACACTGGAACTTGTCTTTACATGATCTGGACCGGTCTATCGTGTCTAATCCAGTTCATTAACTCCATCGTTTGGAGGGCGAATGTGATTAACTGGGCTCCCGTGTGGTGTGATATCTGTCAGAATTTTCCTCTTGTTCTCGCTGCCAAGACTCATGTTTATTTCGTAGCCGCGAAATTCATGATCGGGAGCTCCGTTGCCATCCCCGCTTGTTCGCTTTGCATCAACCGTCGTCTCTACCACATCGCATCAGTTTCCTCGGTCACAAAGACAAGGGCGCAGAAGAGACGCGACATCATGACCGATCTGGCTATTGGTGCTGGTATCCCCGTCTTGGAGATGATTCTGCGTACGTTCGTTTGTCGAATGGAGTCGTACTGCCATTGACAGAATACTCCAGAATATATCGTACAAGGACATCGGTTCAATATTTTTGAGGAAATTGGCTGTTATCCTGCCACTTTTAACACCCCTCCTGCATTTGTATTGGTATTTACATGGCCCTTGATCCTTGGATGCATCTCCGCTTACTATTGCGGTACGTTTGTTCTGATATTTGCCTATCCCGACGCTGATCATTTTGTATTGCAGTCCGCACTATTGTCGAACTAGCCCAGCGTAGGGCCCAGTTCATGGAGTTCCTTTCTGTAAACAAGAACCTGAGTTCCAGTCGTTACTTCCGTCTCATGGGTCTTGCTGGTATTGAGATGTTATGCACGGTTCCTATGGGTGCCTATGTCGTCTACCTCAATGCTACTGCCCAACCAGTCTACCCCTGGATCAGTTGGGCCAACGCACATTACGACTTCTCTCGCGTCGAACAAATTGCATCAGAATTCTGGCGCCTGAACGATGATCTCGTGTTGTCGCTCGAGCTCAGCCGATGGCTCCTCATCGTCTGCGCATTCGTATTCTTTGGTTTCTTCGGGTTCGCCGATGAGGCCAGGAAGAATTACCGCCTCGCCTACGTTTCGGTTGCGAAGCGCGTGGGTCTTTCGACCGCTGGTACTGTGTCGCAAGGGTCTTGGACTGTTGGGTACGTTGTCACACTTTAACACTCAATGATGCGATCTGACGAGCAAATGTTTATTCCAGTGGAAAATCAGGGATGGCATACAACAGCCGCACTGGCACTTTGCCCGTGTTTGTCGTTCAACGTACCGAAAAGAAACGCGATTCTGTTAATTCATTCTCCACCAGCATTTCCGTTGGCGAGTTTAACATGGCATTCGACGATGTCAAGGAGGCTTCGTACATACCAACACAAACCGCCGCGGGTTCGGTATCAAAGGAGTCGCTTCCGACCACACCTGTTGATGGTCAGACAGTCCCACTGCCAAACGCACCTGCGGTTGCAGGCCCCGCGCTTGACATCAACTCAGTTCCCCGGCTTGTCGCCGACTCACCTGAATCGGCGCGTAATTCAATAGATATCGTATGATCCATATTCACACCAGAGATCGGCTTTCTTACATTGTCCTATCATTCATTGTATCATCGTTTCATTGTATTGTTAGCTTTCCGGAGTCGGGATGTAACCACTCGGTTATTATCGGTTTGATACCCACGACCATCAAGTACCTTATGACTATTTGTATGAGTCGGGACATATTTAGACGATGTAGCATTCTTCGTAGGTCGAATCGAACATCTTCAAATGAAGTGAAAGATCCGTGAGTACGTACGCTGGGATTTCATACCCGACGGCGATCAAAACAGTCGCCCACAAAACAATCACCCAAACATCGTCAACACAGGATGGAGATATGGTTTGATTTGCAGGGTGCTTCCTAGGCCTGACTATGTACCAATGCACTTCATCAACGCTTCGTGCGCAGTCCTCTTGGCGTGATGATCGATAATTTAGTTCTCTTGAGATCTGTCGTGCCATCTAAGGGATCCAGAAGGCTGCTTCGATCCGGTTCGTCTTAGTTCATCTGATGAATCCTTTGTTGTGCTGGTTTGGACGAGGCTTATGATTGGAAATGGTTTCTGGTGACAGCGTGAGTGTGGTGAACATGCGACCAGGCCCCAACTTGTGATTCCCGACTAGGGTCATGAATTCTGGTAGTATTAATGGCGTCGCAGTGATACATGTGAAGGTACCAGAAAGTAGGCCGTCGTGCTCAGGTAGTGTTACGGGCACATGAGGTGTGGAATGGGAGTTGTACTTGCAGGTGAAGAACGAGTGTTTACCCTTGTTTTTAACATACATCCAGCGGAGACATCGTGGAAAGACACGTGGAGACTTCACGATGTGCCCCAGGTGACAGTATCGAGGCTATGTAGCTTGTGTCTTTATCCTTGGTTCAGTGACGGTATGGTTGCGGCCAAGATCTGCCTCCTTGTCTGTGCCACAGGAGCGCAGTATTATGCCATAACACCCCCGACTCCCAGACCTTCTGCAAAGGAACGTTTGAATCCCACCGGTTTGGAAGTCGTCACCCCTTGGATACACACTTTGATGAAGGTACTTCCCTGCGCGAATTCCAGAATATCTTGCCAATGTTTAACTGAACATTTGCCCTCCAAGAGCATCATCGGCGTTTGCGCTTTGTCAGACATCATCCTCGCATACACAACGGGCAAGGAATCGACCGCGATTCCGAAATCGCTCGTTGCCCTTCTAGTCCGCAGTGACTTGTGTCTGCTATCGAGCTCGGACCGTACAACGCCGTCTGCAGCACTTGTAGCTGGGTGTTGTCTGAGCGTCATCGGCAGCGCCATTCGTTCCCAGTGCTATTCCACGCTAGGCAGGTTCTTCACTTTCGAACTCAGTATCCGCCAGGATCACAAGCTGGTCACGTCTGGCCCTTATTCCATCGTTCGACACCCCAGCTACACCGGTGGACTGTGTGTTTTTCTGGGCGTCTTGCTTTGCCATTTGCACACTCTGTCGTGGATGGTTTCTTGTTCGGGCGTGTTTCCTTCGTCAGACCAGGGGGTCAGGTTGACTTTGGGATGCCTTTGGGCAGGTTTGCTTGGGTTGCTTTATTCCGGACTGCGCGGGCGAATCCAGAAGGAGGAGGCGATGTTGCAGGGAAAATTCGGAGACCAGTGGAAAAGTTATATGAACAGGGTACCTTATAGACTGGTTCCATGGTTGTTCTAATCACCGTCATCTATTCAAGACACTATCAAAGCATTAAAATACAACAAGAGCAACTTCTTTATCATTGGATTGTGAGGAGATTATGAAAGAAGAAAAGGAATCTTGACCAGACGCTCCGCGAGGCAAGAAATAATCATCAGGGGTACGGGATATGTAAATGCGTCAGTAATCGTGAATGGGGATGGAGAGAACAAGAGACTTTTGAGAAGCTAGTAAAAGGGTGTGGTACGCACAACTAATAACTGAGGGTCAACATCACATCAACCCGTCGGCTTTGCCTTCATTAGGTGGAGCTGCAATCCACCCTCCACATATTGATTCAGACGTTCCCTCAGCTCGATAATTGTTTTGTCTCGTGAATCCT